ATATATATATATATATATTATATATAAATCGTTTTGTGAAATAGTTATACTTAAATAATACAAGATTTGTATTAGTATAACTATTAATAAATAAAATACAATACGTGTAACATAAAATAAATGTATAAAATTAAAATTCATGCATAAACCATACTTTTTGAGAAAAATTAATATATAAATTATTAAATATTTAAAAGATTATATTACTATAAGTATATATATATTAAATAAATTTAGAAAATGACATTACTTGTACATGTACATTTATTAATTTCTTTTTTTAATACATTTGAGTATATTTTTCTCAAATATACATATATATGTTTTGCTATATTTTTTAGTAATTGTTGTTGTAGATTTTTTAAATTAAAGACATAAAAATAAATTTTATGCAAATAACATGTATTACAACACACATACATGTCGTAAGACAAAGTAAGCTGGCGCAATCTAATCTCGTTAGTCAACAGCGTTTTCCGCGTATATTTCTTCAATTAATCAAATAGGCATACTTTCATCACTTTCTTGCTTGTATACAAAAAAATTATATGGTGGATGGAGTTCAAGTTTTGCAAAGACGTAAAAAAAGTTTGCTCTAACTTAAATTATGAATTTTTATGTAAATGGAAGCATTTTACATGTATGTAATTATGTGATATATCATGTAATGCATCTGTCATAAGACATCCTGCATAAAACTCTAATTTTAGTTTTTTTTTCTTAAAAACCACACGGTTAATTGGTTTGAAATTTTAATACGATATTAGTTTACGCTTTAAAGAATATTCTATATAATTTTTAAACAGATTTATTTTGATTTTGCTATCGAATCTCCTTAAGTTTAGCGATTTAACCCGGGAACACCCTGTATATTACAGAATTACTAATATTAATTTGTTAAGATGAATAAGTCAAGCTTTATCGATATTTGCTTTCTGATATCTTTACATTTGTACTCGGATGAATAAGCTCCTCAATATAATAATAATGAACAGACACACTTCGTATATTTAATCATTATTAAACGCGTTGTGCGCCGCTCTTCTTCATTTAGGTCATAATAAAATCGTAATCAAGTATATAATCTTTAATTTGGCACTATTTAATTGCCTCATCAAAATGAAGGATGCGAACGTCATCGCATTCATCATAAAATACCAGCTGTTTGCCAAATAGTCAAATTACAGATACGAATTCACTATAAAAGGAAGTAGAAATTATTGTCTCTCAGTTTTATTTCTGATCTGGCCCGAGTTAATTATTGCGACCATGCTACCTCTAATTCTCTTGGTAGTCGGCGTCTTTGCGCAGCGTACGTAAAAATCACATTTTTTATACAACGACAAAGTACTTTGTTATTTATTTTATCTATATTGTTATCCTCGATGAATATTTCGTCAATCATTTACTGCGGAATGGTTCGCATTCTGTAAAAAACGTGCAATTCATTGATTTACAGAGACGTTCGCTGAGGAACCCGAAGCAATCGTCGGTGGCGAGCCTGCCTCACCGGGCGAATTCCCGCATCAAGTTTCCCTGAGATTGGACGGTAGCCACGTTTGCGGCGGCTCCATCATCGCGCCGAACAAGATCCTGACTGCCGCTCACTGCGTGGTAGGCATCGCATATCCGCCCTACAGCAACTATAAGGTTGCGACTGGCACCAATAGTATCTCCGGAGGAGAGATTCACACTGTAAAGAGCATTCTCGTGCATCCGCAATACTCCGACAAGTACGAAGACGCTTGGAAGAATGACATCGCCGTGATCACGGTAAGTTGACGTATCGTATGATAGTTTGCCACCGTAATTTGCCTCTACAATTTCGCAAGTGTCAGTTTATATATGATTTCTTTTTAATTTCTCCTATAATGTCTTCCTTCTTGTTCCTTCGTTTTTTTCTTTCTTTTAAATTTGTTTCAATCATTTGTCTTATTCGTTTCAGCTCGTAGAACCGATTAAATACAATCAATATCAACAACCGATCGCCCTGACCACCACTAAGCCTACCCCCGGACAGGCATGTACCTTGTCTGGATGGGGTTTGATCAGAACAAACGGACCGCTCCCGCGTAACCTTCAAAAGATGACCCAAGTCGTGGTCGCGCAGAACAAATGCCAGGATAGTCACTATGAAATGCCTTTGACCGGCAGCCACTTGTGCACGATCAATCGTTATGGAATTGGCGCTTGCAGTGTAAGTAATGTCCATTGTTAAATATATATGGGACGTTTCGCGTTAAACGGACCACCTCTTCTTTCAAAATTTAACGCAATGAAAAAAATGTTTGAGGTCTCAAAATATTCTTAAACTTATGTAGTTTCAAATAAAACGTGGCCTTTTGAAAAATTCAATACGACGGCTTAAATATGTTTAAAAACCACAAAAATCACGAAAGATTTTACAGTATCTTCACAGATTGAAATGCGGAAACTTTAGAAATTGACTTGAAAATGATTACTATAAAGTTTCCAAGGTCGTTGACTGCGAATCTGGAAACACGAATTACAAAATTAAAATGACGGATTCAAAATAACCGATTTTGAAATTATTACATAAAGTGTATCATAATTATCGTTATGTCGAGTCTAATACTTTACAATAACCACTAGTTCAACGGCAAAGTAGATATATTTGCAATTTTTTTTAATGACAAGGAAAGCATGATGTTTACTTTAGTTGCGAAGCTGCAGAAAATCATTTTGCAAGAAATTTCTGAATTTGCATATAATGCTCTCCAATTGTAATAATTGTCGTTATGTCGAGTTTAACACTCTACAATAACCAATTGGTTCAACGGCATCAGAGTAGCACATTATTTGCAATTTTTTCAACAAGGAAAGCAAAGAGAAATATATAAAAATTCAGAAATTTCTTGCAAAACAATTTTCTGCAACTCAGCAACTAAAGTAGACATGCTTTCTTTGCCATTAAAATAAAAATTTCAAATATCTACTTTGCCATTGAGTCAGTGGTCACTGTAGAGTATCAGACATATAACGACAATTATTAATTATGATATGCTTTATGTAATATAATTTTAAATTCAATTATTTTAAATCCGTCATTTTTATTTTGTAATTCTGTTTCTAGATTTGCGATAAACGACTTTCAAAACTTTATAGTAATCATTTTCAAGCCAATTTCTGAAATTTTCGCATTTTAATCGAAGAAACTGTAAGATCATTCGTGATTTTTGTGGTTTTTAGACGCCATATTTAAGCCACCATAAATTTTTCAAAAGGCCACGTTCCATTCGAAACTACATAAATATACGAATATTTTGAGACCTCAAACATTTTTTTCCACTGCGTTAAATTTTGGAAGGAGAAGTGGCCCGCTAAACGCGAAACATCCCATATATAGTTTCTTTAGTTTAATAGAGACGATTGATTCACTTTATCAGTTGTTGAAGAAACTCAGTAGTTAAACGGGAAATTAATTTGAATATGTCTGTCTGCATTTTCAGGGTGACAGCGGTGGTCCGCTTATCAGCAAAGGTGTACAAATCGGTGTTACTTCTTGGGTGCTTCCTTGTGCTAGGGGTGAACCTGATGTCTACACCGATGTCTACTATCATCGCAACTTTATCCAACAAGCCTTATAAGAAAATGCGAAAAAGCAATTTATGCAGAGGCACATACACCTATTCAATGTATCATATGTCAACTGGTATCAACGCGCCGAAAGAATACGCTGTTGCAATGACGAAGTTACATGCAACGTCAGTCGCGTTTTTAAAAAAGATAAAACATTTCTGTATTATACTTCTGTAACTTTAATATCAATAAATAAATGCTAATTAAATATATTAGAATTGTTGATTCTTAATATTAAGTCTTTTTCTGAGCTTTTGAGCATCAGGCATAACTGTATGGGAGTTACTATTAATAACCAACACATTTTTAATAAAAAAAAAAATTAATAATTTGTAAAAAAGAGAGAAATTATCGTAAAATAATTAATAAGTTTATTGTTTATAAAATAACTGATAGTGTTTGTTTATTTATTCTAAACAGACAATATAAAAAGTTATGATTTAATTTTTTGATAGAAATTAAGATTACAATAAATTTTGCCATATGCTAAATTGTATAATATTATCATGATAGTAGGTGCATGCAACAGCTTATACAATAATAATATATATATAATAATATTTTGCTGATTCTGAAATTCTGATGTAAATATATATATTTATAATAAAATTGTTTGATGTAAATATATACATGCAACAGCTTATACAATAATGATATATATACAAGGGCGTTCGCAGGATTTTTTCTAGAGGGGGGCATAATCCAAATTTTTAATACGAACTACCGCGAAGAGCAAATGTCCAAACGTTGTGTACTTGTGTTGTATTTTAGCTCTCTCACATTTGACAAACATATTTATTATTTTAATTATTTGTAAAAATAAGAAAGCCAATTTTGAATTTTCTTATACTTGTTTGATTTCAGGGGCAAATGCCCCTTCTTGCCCCCCCCCCCCCTGCGGACACCCATGTATATATAATAATATTTTGCTGATTTAGAAATTCTGATGAAAATATATATATTTATAATAAAATTGTCTGATGTAAATATATATATTTACATCAGACAATTTTATTATAAATATATACTATATTTACATCAGAATTTCAGAATCAGTAATTATATAGACCTTGACAGCGTTATGAAGTGCACTATTGAGTCATTCTATCTTTATCATTTATTAAACGTAAAATAAGGATATAGAATGACGTAATGGCGCTAATAGCGTACTCGCGACTGAATGCCCCGCCTTGTAAGATCTATCCAAGTAACGATAACTTTTAAAAAGTAACTTTTTATTTCTTGATAATCTTTGAATTGGCACTATTTGCCTCATCAAAATGCTGCATTCCGTTATTTACTTCGAGTTCTGAAACTCTATAGATTATTGCGTTTGGCAAGTGCGCTATCAGCGGCTGAGTCAGCGCTACTTATGTCATTTTAACTTTATCGTTAATTAGACGTAAAACAAGGCTGAAATGATGCAACCGCGCTGATAACACGCTCCCTGAACATAGCCATAGTATATTACGTATCGTAAACTATAAATTTTCAGAACTTTACAGTAAAAAACTTAAAGAGACACAGCTGGATGCGAACGTCATCGCATTCATCGTAAGATACCTGCAGCTGTTGGTCAAATAGTGGAATTACAGATACAAATTTGCTATAAAAAGGAAATAGAAATTATTGTGCGTTATTATTGTGCTGCGTTCCGATATTCACTGCAAG